AATAACTGTGTTCAAACATTTTTTAGATTTTTTGGTTACAGTATGAATTACTTAGGTTCGGCTTATTGTCGCTTCTGTACCGCAAATACGGCGTAGGTAATATACTAATATGCGCTCAAATTGTGCAGTGAACATTATGTCTTGCACGAGCATTATGTATGTTTGTATTCATTCACTTGCGGCGCTGCAGCGGCAAAAAATAGACGTGTGCGTATTGTTTTAAATTTTCAATTCTTAGCTAAGGTATTAAACATTTTATACGTTTGAAAATTATCAATTTGATAAATTTTGTCAACTTTTGAATTTAAAAATTAAAAATTAAAATGTTTATAAAAAAAAATCATGCTTGTGTATTTTTAATATTTTTAAACTACTATTGTAACAATGTGTAAGAATCTTTGTATTACATTTTTAAGCTTTTTGACCAGCTTTTCCTGCCAGAAGAGATACTGATGTTGAAAATCGAAGCATTATTTCAACTGCTACTTATCGTGTACCCGGGCACGCAAAAAAAACACATCATTGTAAAATCAATACACTAATTTCTCCACTCGGAATCTAAAATAGCCGTATATATTTAACAAATCATTATTCAAATATGAACTTAAACTTATTTTTATTAAAATGTCCTTCTTTTTGAATTTAAAATCAAATGTATAGGTTGCATATGGAATTTAATAATAATGGGTATAATGTTTAAAGTTTGTAATGTTTTTTGTAGATGAAGGTAGTGTTGTATAGACTTTATTCATTGTATATGCATCGCAGTAACTAAAAACTATCAAATATCTCGGGTTAAAATATAATGACTGATTTTATCCAACCCAATAATACATGAATTGCAAAATTAGCACTCTTTAAAAATGATATATACATATTTATATATATATGATAGATACCTATTTCAATTTACAACAACTATATTATGTATGTATAAAATAAGCAATTGTCCGTTATGTTATAAAGTAAATAATATTTATATGTAGGTACATATTATGTTTAGTCAGAATCTTCATGTGAGATAAATATTAAGATAAAAAATAATTCTAAATGAATTGGCATTGTTCATAAAATATTAAGATTTATTATAGTTAAAAAAGACATTGGATTTTTTTTTATTCTTTGTCAAACAATGTGGAAGCAAAATTATATTACTAATCAGATACCAAGGTTATACCTAGCATGGTTTTGATTTTTGCTTTTTTTATCTAGCACTGGGCCACTGGGGCGTACTACATCAACCCATACATCATTAAGGGGGGAGGCAACTGGGATGGTTTTAAACTAACTACATAGATGAGGTAGTCAATAAATATTAGATTAGATGAACATGTGCGTATTTTTTTTTGTTACATTCATATCAATAGCCAACACAGTTCCCAAGATTCGAGAATGCAGAACAATATTATGTTTAAAATAGTGCGTGCTAATATGGAAATTTGATTTTATATAATTAAGCATTTTGTTCAAGTATTCAGATATTTGTTTTAGGTAGTTTTTCTCACAAGAATAATAAAAATAATTGAGTATAATTCTACTAATATTGATATGTTTACATTTTATCGAAATCGGATATTGTTTTTAGCTTTTTTTATTGTTAGCAATTCATTACAAGTTTTGACCTTGTTAAAAAAGCAAGAACATTTAATACACATAAATTAATTGAACATATCGTATTACGTATTAATAGTAAAATGAATTACTATAATAACAATATAAATATGTCTATAATATACTTACTACTTAGTAATATAGGCTGAAAAGAGATTTTCTATCAAAAATCGTGTTATGTATGCTATAATTTATTGTTGAATTTAAATTTGAGACATTTATATAATAATGACAACCTATACAATTAGTGTATGATCATATTCACACTAAGAAATACATTTAAAATATAAATACATTTTACTTATGCAGTTATGTGTAATAATCATTATTTATTACCCTTCAATCTTGCATAACTTAAATGTGTAGATAATTGCCATCAAAAATAAAATATAATATTCACTAGTAAATTACTAATTTTATATTTATAGTTTTTACGTACAATGGTCAATATTATTATGTTTTATGCATATTAATATATTATACCATTATTATTATGATTATAGCATTATTAAGATGTGTTTTGATTTTGATTCAACCTCATGTTGAAAATGACATAACTTATACAACAGAATCTAGTTGATAACAAATTGATTGAATCAGAAAAGTATGTTGTTTGTAGTTATTTATATTGGAATATATTTACTAATATTATAGAAAAAAACATTAAAATACACAAAATGTACGTATGGTGAAACTCAGTAAAAGAGATACTACTGTATTAATTTAATTAATTCAGTGAATTGCCAACTTCATAAATAAAAACATTTTAATTGGCATTTTAAAAAGTTAATACTGAAAATAGTTTAAATGATTTTTTTTTAATAATAATAAAAAAAAATACACGACAGATACATAAATGGTTAAATGTTTGGATAATTTTATGAACGGTTGTATAAGAAAATAGTTATATACATTTCGATGTTAGAAGTGCAATTTTGATCGTTGGGTTAATAATTAATCATGACGTAATAAATAAAAGTTTTTTAGTAAATTTCAAATTGTTGTTGATATGATGGATGAGACGAAATTTAATAATTTTAATACTATACTTGTACATTTTGCAAGCAGCATTATTATTAAATTAAAATAGTGTCTTGGGTACACAACCCTAATCAATCACTTTTATTTGAAAACTTGATAATATAAGTCAAAACCAACTTAACAGTGATCGTCAACAATTTACGAGCTAAATCGAATAAATGATAAAATTATAATAATATTATTATTATTATTATTATTATTATTACATAATTATTATTATTATTAAGTATAATATTATATTTAATAGATAAAGCAACTGAGACCTACATAACTCGATCTTTGAACCTATTAATTAAAATATAATAATATTATGTTCATTATAAAATCACGACTTCCAAAATAAAATACAATATAATAGTATTTTTTTAAATTTTTTATTCTAGTATGCTATGTGCTATTATGCTATGATAGCTCAACAATTACTAAAATATAATAGTAAAAACCAAAAACCTAACTATAATTTTAAGACAATATTATACTACACGAATCGAATTATTTAAAAAAGTTTCGCATATTATTCGCATTATTTATGTAATTTATATAATTACTACATATCGGACCCGACAAGTAGACGAAGATTATAAGTAATAAGTATATAAGTATTAATTGTATTATAACAGTATAATCATACATTATTTCAATAGTTAAACCTTACATAATTGTTTTTTGTCTGAATTGCCTATCTTATTTTTACCTTAATTTTTAATAAATCTGATTAAAAACATGCGTTAGACCATGGCTAAGTTTCACTTGCACTAGGTAAAAATATATTAAATATATAACGCTTAACGTAAATATATTAAAATTTATCAGCTACAGTGAGCTACCTATTTCTAACTCCTTGTTCTACGTCTATAGGGTATATGTGACCTATAGCCTATCAGCTATTTAGGGTGGGTTCAGGTGGCAATTGCCCAGGGCGTCTAATTATCGGTCTCATAAAGGGGTACTGGTGTTCAAGGTTTAAAGTACCTAGCTAATACCAATGGTGGATTTTTATTTTTACTATAAGTACCTAAAAATAAAACAAAAAATTTAAACTGAATGTCAAAAGTAAAATGTTGGCAGCATACTTGTTGCGTTATTCCGAAGATAACTTTGTAATAAGGTTTGATCCGAATTGCAGATCGAGGTTTGACTCTTGGACGTTAAATCCTAGTCTTATCTAAGTTGTGGGCCTATCAATAATTACATTTAAAAAATATGTACATATATCATACATGAACACCTATAATATAATAATATTAAATTCTATAATACATAATATTTATTTTTAAATTGTACACTCATTTTTAAGTATTATTCATCCAAAACAACACTGACTGAAATTCGTATGTACAATAATAAAAAACCTGGGCTGCATTTTAGAATAGTAACTAGTTGCCACCTAAATGTCGAGGGGCCTAAATTTTATAAACATATTTTCTATAAGACTTAATAAGAGGTTTTTGTCATCCGCAGCTTACATTTTAGCATGCAAGCTCAAAATAGACCATCATCATCATAATTACTATCTTTTTTCCGTAGTTGTACCTACTTAGCCGACAGGCGCTTTAGAGATCACAAAGTATTCTTGAGCATATATTATGTTCTAATAATTGTTTATTTGTTTTTAAAAGAATCAGTATTTTTAAAATTATTTGTATTATGTTATACCAATATTAAGATAAGTATTCAAAGTTTTGCTTACATTTGAATGATTCTAATTTCTAAGAACTAAAATCAATTTTCAACAACCCAAATTTTAAATTATATTTAAACTAATTCAATTAAAAAGACATCTGTGTTGATTTGTTTAAATCGTTTTATTTAGTTAGTGATTCAAGACTTGAAATTAATTTGAATACATAAATAAATAAATGCACGATGTGAATTGTGACTTGTGAGCTAAACAAGATACAAGACACGTGCTGTGTCTTGTATATATAATCACATGTTACATGGGGTATTATGCTCGATCCAAGTACTTGACTTGGAAAAAGGACAACTTTATTTAGAGTAATATAAAAAGTTGTAATCTAGTATAAAACTTAACGTAGCACAAATATGATCGTATAATTAGTCATTTTATAGTTGATAAATGTTAGCAAAAAATAGCAAAAAATAAAAATGTGCCTAAGATTAATTAATGTTGTTATTATGTTTTACACGTCGACAAGATTCCTATTGCATATTAAAAGATTTTTATAAACTACTTATTGTTATGATTATTTATTGATTGCTAAATCATTGTGAATCATATTGTACTATTGTATTGATGGTTACTTCCAAGAGTACATCTTGATAATCTTGAACTTAAGGTCAGACAGAGGAAACATAACATGCTTGGATATTTTTAATAATTCAAAACCCGATTAGTACATATGAACAGTTAACACGCGCACACTGCGTTCAGTCGTTCGACGACCATTGATCATTATTCAACGAAGGTGCAAGTTAAATTTATATCGTTATGTTGTTTAAGTTCCAGTTACTAGCCGTAGGAATTTTAATATTCCTGAACGCTTTAAATGATTGTAAGTAATTTATTGAACAATTATACATTTATATATTTTTAAATAGTAATACGAAGTATGTATTAATACTCTCTTTGTATTTAATACGTATTTTGGCTACTGCAATAATATATAAAAATTAAATATGAAATAGATACCGTGTAACAGGCATCTCCCCCAAGTGAATTTTGGTGATATGTTTTATTATATAAACATAAAAATAATTCAAGTATAACTTTATTGTAAGCAAAATAGATATCAGATTACTCTAGAAATGATAAATTATTAATAAATCTATATTGATTTCATGTTATTTTTTTTAGTCATTACTTAGTTTGCTAATAATAAATAAGAACAAAAATAAATAAAATGTATTAAAAAAATACGTTGAAAATGTTAGTTTAATATGTTTTTGAATATTTTTTAAAATTAACATCATAAAGTTTTATCAAATATACACAATATAATTATTTTGATTAGACAGTTAATTTTAAATTAAATACATAGATTTTTGAGTAGGTATATAATATCTAAATGATAGGTATTTCTATGAAAAATGTGTAATATTTTTTTTATAATTTTTAAAGAACTCAAATATTATTTAAACGTTACATATAAAATAACATCTACATCGAAATACAGAGCTTAAAACCATAATATCTTTTACAAGATATTTTTGTTTGTCGATGACTTTGAAGTTGTTTATTTGTAAATATAAACAGTTTTAGATTCTGAATTCTGAGCTGAGCAATGAAACAATTATGACTACTTTTCTTGTGTACATAAACATACACGATGCATACTACAAAAAAAAAAAATGCTTTTATATTCAATTCAAAAATAATCGAAAAAAGAAAAAAATTGAACAAAACCAAGAATTTTTGGGCAAAATCAGTTTTTGACGAAACGATGTAATTATTAATTATTAAAAAACGAATAACCGATATTTGAAATTTTCACAAAATATTTTTACGAGCATTGGCTATATTATATGTTATCATTTAAAAAATATTTCAACTCATTTTGAGCTATTTGTAGATATTTGAATCAATTTTCAAAACCAAATGATTTTTTATAAGGATTTGAAGTACAAAATATGACAAAATTCATAAAAATCATGAACATTTGCAAAATATTTTATAGTTAAAAATATTTAATATGTTCGAACTCGAAAATTAAAATATCGAATACAAGGTTGTTCATTAGTGATTCATACTTTGATACCTGCGAAAAATCTAAAAAATAAATAAAAACAATTTTCGTGGAACTTAAAACTTTTACGGATTCCTATTATTATTTTTTAAACACAATGACATTTTCAAATGTAATTTTTTCGGAAAAATGTAATTAAAATTATCGTAAAACCAGCTACTAACAGTAAAATAAATCATTACTTTTATAGAATTATAATATATTTTGTAATATAGGCTTACAGACCGTCTTAGCTCAGAACTGTTTTTCGTACCTATGATTATAGAATGATTTATCATTTAAGTAAAATTTAACACATGCACTAAAGTGACTTACTCAATGACGATGGATTCACTTCAAAGTTGTTTTACCTACTTTCCCCTTTTTAAATTTATTTAGTTTACCATTTTTAATATCAAATATAGAGTTAATCAAGTCTTTTTAACAACATTTGTAATTTTTTTTTTTCATAATATATTATTAGGTTATAGATTATTTATTCCAAATAATTATGACAGTTATAAATTATGCATAATCATAAAGGATACAAAGTAAATACAACATGCAAATAATATTTTTAGTACAAACTACATTGTGGCTTGGTGAGACGCCCTTCCACGCTTAATCTTCGGCAACGCTCTGAGCGTTTTTACCAGCCGTCGTTGCTAGCACTCGGATGGGTGACCACTCGGGCTTTTTAGCAACATATCCTTGTCACACATACAAACGTGTTCCAACCAAACGCCCCCCCCCCCATACAGCACTAGGCTTATGATTTTAGTAATTGAAGCCTTAATCCAAATAAAAATAAAAACTACATTACTTTACTTATTTATTTATTAAGCTTCCATAATATTTTAACGTATTAATGTATAGAAAAAATGTTATGTTTATTTGAAAATTTAGACATATATAAATTAAATATCGATACCGTGACACGTTGTTTAATAATATGACAATTTTTATATTGAACTTAAAGTATTTTTTAATATTATTTATACATATTTAATTGATTGTTGACAGGTAATGGACAATTACCGGCTAATTCTGTAAATAAAATAACAGGAGCCGTTAAAAATGCAGTGACAAACGTTCACGATTCTTCCATAACGATAGCGCAAAATATTAAAGATGTATGCGAAAAGGTTGGTGATTGTGTTAGACAAAGTGGGACCAAAGTGGTAAACAAAACTGTTACGATAACAAAAGAATCACTACAAAATGGAGCCACCATGGTGAACAAAACTATCACAATTACCAAAGACACACTTAAAAAAATCCCATACAAATCTATCGAAGAAATAATAAAAAAAGCCAAATGTGTGATACCCAAGAATGCAGATAACATCGTTAGAGCTGCATTACTGCAGCAGTGTATTTCACCCAGTCTTGGTAAACAAATAAATCAAATGTTAAATAAATTATAGCTTTATAGTAGTTACTAAAGTTATGTTAACCAACTTAATTATCTTCCTATTGTTCTAAGAACTAGAATGACTGAATAAGTACCTATTTGATTTAGTAAGAAATATTTCATGCAAGTATTTAATATGCATAGTAACATGATCATACCTGTAATAATAAAGTACAATAAGCGGTAAAAAAAAACTACTTACTCTTACACACACACATATCGACTAAAATAATGTGTGCTGTGTGAGTGTCGAGTGGTTGCAATTGAATGTAATATTATGAAAACCGACCAAAATAAATTGTTCATATGTTCGCAATATTATAGGCAGGTACTTAATGCTGTAAAATTATCTGAAAATAATTTGAAAGATTTTTAATTTAAAACTATTTGTTTACATTCGATTATATTGAAATTTGGATACCATTTTATTAAGATATTATAATGTTAAAAAGTGTATAAATCAAAGTATTACTTATTTTTCTTCATGTTTATAAACAAAGAGTGGCTTATGCAGTTATTATCGTTTTTATTTACTATAATAATAACTTTTACCAAATTGTTAACTATGTTTATAAATACTCAGAATGACAATAGTACGGGATTTATTTATTAGGTTTTGGGAACGAATCTAGATGTTTTGATGAACTTGGTTGTTTTCCAATGGAACATCCTTGGACTTCAAATTTAAGACCTTTTCCACAACCTATGAAACCTGAAGAGGTAGAAGTACAAATTTACTCATATTCTAGGTACGTCGTGTTTTTAATATTTCAAATATTCATCAATAAGTTTATGCATGTACAAATATTTATTTTAGAAAACAAAATTCTCGATACACTGTACAATTATGGCCGAATATTTTACTTGAAGGATCAGACTTTGATCCCAATAGGCCATTCACTGTATTTATAGTACACGGATTTAATAGCGATGGAGAAAACCAATGGATGTCTAGTCTTAAAGATGCATATTTAAAACAAGTAGAAGATTATATTAATAAATAAGATCATTTTTAGGCAGTTGTAGTTTATATAAATTCTAATTCAGAACTTTTTTGTTAGCGTGATGCAAATATTTTCTTAGTTGATTGGGGAAAAGGATCAAAGCAATTTAATTATTTGCAAGTAGCTTCAAACACAAGGATTGTCGGCGCAGAATTAATTAGGTAATATCACAAAATTATATTTAAGAGATAAATTAGATTATTGTGTTTATATATTATCATACTCGTACAAGTGTACAACTCACAAATGTTGATTTTAAATTACAAAAGAAACACGTGCGTAAAACTAAACCTGTATAGGAAAATAATTAAAATATTCGATTGTGATTCATTATTGATTTCTGACTATGTTACATAGGTAGGTAGGTACTGTTTATTGTTTATTCTTAACATATTTTTTTAAACTGGTTTGATGATTAAATAAGGACTAAAGAATATTTATTTGTGAATACTACAACTGATAGTGTTTTAATAAAATATCATCCATATTAATGAAATTATTAATTTGTAACATTGTATAAACGCCGATGTGGTTTTATAAGCATATTATAACAACAGTATTGTAGTATGATAGTCAAATTAAAAATAATTTTCTTTTTAATATTTTAAAAATACAACATACATTTTTTTTTACTTTAAGGTTTGGAAAATATCTCATTGATAATTATCAACTAGACCCACTGAAAGTTCACCTAATGGGTCATAGTTTGGGTGCTCATATATCCTCATATTTTGGTAAAGGCATCCCCGGTTTCAGTCGAATAACAGCATTTGACCCAGCTCAACCAGGATTTGAAGGTTGTCCGAAAGAAGTACGATTAGATAAATCAGACGCTCATTTTGTTGACGTTATACATACAAGCTGTAGACCCACAGTTCCATTTTTAGGTTTTGGACTTATCACTCCCGTAGGTAATTATACGAGTTTTGTATGTTATCTGGATTTGGCGTATTAATAATTTAATTTTCAATTTGATAGGTCATGTGGACATTTATATGAATGGAGGTTTCATACAACCTGGATGTACTCTACCTCCAATAAATGAAGTAAAATTAACGAGTATTGCAGATTTAGCTGCTGTTCCTGCTGATGGTATGAAATCATTTTTTTTATTAACAATTTTCAATAAAATGTTTAACAGCCGAGGTAAATAAAATATCACAATTGAACATAAATCATTTTGTATAATTATGAAGTATGATAGCAAATTATTCTAGTACAAACTACAAATTAATTAAAAAATATAATTCAATATTTTATTTTATTAAATGCTACCATATTCAACACAAATTGTAAAAATAAACATACTTCAGACGATAATAAATATAATTTATAAAATTATAAAAATTTAGTGTGTGTAAAGTTTTTTTACATGAGTTAGTGAGAAAAATATGATAATAGTCGACTTTTGTAAAATATTTATGATAAAACTGACACATGAATTTTCAAGAATAATAATATATTATTTATGCAAATATGTGTAACTATTTATGTAAAATAAAGTACTATATAAAATAACCTAGTCATATAAGATATTTAATTAAATACTGAATAAAACAGAACATTAATGAAAATCCCAATTGTATAATTAAACAATCAAGTTTGATACATATAGCCACATAGGCAACCAAGATAGTTATAAGAAATAATTTGTTCAACATTTTACTGCTTATGTTTGGATATATCTTTTAATTTAATAAAATATAATTAATGCATTATTAAAAATCTATGCAGTTTAAGCACTCACTAGTCACTACTCTGTAGATGTGCAAATAATAAAGCAATTGGTTCAAAATAGCGAAAGTAATAATTATGAAGTAATAATCATTCTATCAGTGGATAAATAAAAAGTCCGATAAAAAGTATAAAGATTATGTAAAGAGAATTAAAATATTGCTTAATAATTATTATTACTCAAGTAACAGTGTACATATCTCTAAAAGCGTAAAGCCCATTCAATATATGAACATGTATTGCCCAATCATGTAATGCAATACTTATTGAAATATTAATATTCAACTATTCAATTTTTTAAAACATAACTTTAATATTACAATTAATAATTGTGATCCTAATTATAGTACATTATCTCTTTCGCTATTATATTTTATAATAATTAGTATAAAGTGTTTTTTTGTTTTTATTTTTTTTATACCTACACAAAAATAGTTAAATATGTAATTTAAAATAAATGTATCATGTATCACGTAAATTAAATATTTATCTTTCACAAGATTTGTGAAGTAGCCGTTATTTTAATCAAATTATTTATTAATATTATGTGGTATAATGATGTTTAGTACTAGGGACCTGGGTTGCTTGCTCACACGGAAGATCGTTTTCGTATTTCATAGAATCATTAGAAGACAATTGTACATTCTGGGCTCAGAAATTAACATTATTTTCTGCTATTACAAAGTAAATTATTTGACCTGTTTTTAACACATACAACCTAATTATTTTTAAAATTACATAATGTGTTGTGTATTTCACAGTGCTGCAAGTGTCGGCCAACTTCAGCCTCTTATGATGAATATCGACAAATGTAAATTTAATGAATGTGTACCATTAGGTTTAAATACTGATCTATATCCAGGTAGAGGTATTTTTTCTGCAGGGACTGCATTTTTTGAACCATATTGTAGTAAGTATAATTTTTATCTATGCACATTAATTCCATTGATTAAACCGAGTTTTTTGAAAACAAAATTCTTGTAGATTTAATTGTTTTTCATTCAGTTTAATACCTTTAAAAAATTGAAAAAATTATCGGCACATGATGTTTTATGAATGAGTGAATTATAATTATTTTTCAATATATAGACAATATAATTTATTAATCTATGTTCGATGTTTTTGATTATTTACTTATAGGGAGCAATTTAGAAACGGATCGGTTTATGCGGAAGGAATTTAAAAGGATGAAATGAAAACTTGAAATATATCATATAACACAGGTAGGTAAATAAGTCATATTTCACACGAATGAATAATCCGTATACTATACTTAATAATTGTATAATTTGATATAAAAATGATATAAGTTCCTACCCAAAATATGCCTTCGAAAAAAGTTGTCGGTGAATTAAAAACACATATTTTTAATCGTTTTTCATAAAGCAATAAATGCATATATTTGATAGGAATGTGTAAAATTAATTTTAGTTAATGACGAATAATTAATCATTTTTAAGCATTTACGGGTATTCATATTTTCCAATATTCGTAAGTCATAACTCATATGTTTTGTATCTTATGTATACTTCCATAGCAATACTAATAACAGTTGAATTTTTTACTTTAAAATCAAATCTAAAATATGGCAAAACCTATAAAGGAATATTGAAATAAGAATTTCAACAATTTTTTTTTTAAATGCACTATAACTTAAATTTTTAAAATATCATACAAATATTATTTGGTAGGATATCAGTAATCGCTATTAATAATTAAGACTTTTTACCATCATTTATATGATTGGAGGGTACCTATTTAACTTTAGTTTTAAAATCAATAACACGTACCTATACCCTCCAATTTAATAAAGTTTTTATATGAGAAAAACAATACAACTATAATTTATTAATATATTCGTATAATCTCATTATATCTAGTAACTGTTTAAGTAGTTTTAAATCTTTTTTAGTTTTCATTTTAAAAGAATTTTTCTGTCCAAGATGCATGATGTATACATATTTTATAATTAAAAGTGTCCTGACTCCTGTCTGACCGACTGATCAACGTACAGCCTAAACTATATGATAGCTATAAAATTTATATTTGGTCAGTATATTCGTACGGCTATGTACCTAATGGTGAGGATTTTCTCCAAAAAGAAAAGAAAGGATTTCCTAAAATTCTCATTTTACAGAGGTGCCCACAAGAGGGTTTTGATATTCACTACCGAAATTGAATTTTTTTCGTTCCCCTAATAAATGATTGCCACCGGTTACAGACTATAATAATTAGAATTAGAATTATTCTACCGAATGGAAGAAATTAGGAAATATTTTTCTCTATATATAAATGATTGCCGTTGGGGTTACATAAAATAAAATTGTTACACATTATGATTGGATAGTAATTGGTAAAATATTATAATCACATAATTGTTTTTTATGCTAGACGGGTAGTAAGAAAAAAAGTTGTTATTGCTATCCACCGATTTAAAATCAAATCTTTTCTTTTTTATGTATATTTTTAAGTTTTGAATATTATTAGTCATCACACCAAATATTTAATAACGAATTGAACAAAGTTCTATTATATAATAGTCGGCTTTTTTTACTGGCAACGAAGCGCACGGGGTCAGCTTGTGATATTTTCAGATATATTTAAAAATTACACTTCATAGAGGAAAGTAGAAGCATTTAATGATAACACATTATTTTAATACATACAATATGTAAATTATACATTTTTTTTTTAAAATATATATTTTGCTGGACATCACAATTCAGTAAATAATATATAATCCATGTGGTTTTTCTTATTAATTAATTTCCAATTTCATTATCTACACCATTTTCGTTAGAGTCGACGTGGGGGGTTTTCAGTAAGTATATTGAAGACAAGTTGAGATATTACGGGTTTTAAATGTGTATATTATTTTGGACGAAATTTTCATTGTTGTGATTTGGGGCAAATTGATTTACTAATTTGATTTTAAAGCCTTTATGAAGTTTCCAATTGGGTACATATCATGGGACAGAAAATATAATACGGAGAGTGATAGAAAATAATAAAAGATTGTAACGTATATGACTTTGGCCTTGCATAATCATAATTTAAATGTCATGGGTTCAATGTGGATTTGTATAGCTTGTTTTGTACGGTCTAATCTATCTCTGTACCAAATGTAATCGCAATCGGTTGAACGATTTAGGAATGCATAAAGGACAGACAGACATTTATTTATATATATATATATATGTAGATAGACATAATATAATACATAGGATTTATTTAGAATTTTAATTTTGACAAAGTGTACCTATACTTTTAAACTTGGATTTATGCGCCTGATTTTTTCTGTTGAATTTTTAAATATAAAATCGAATGTTTATTATAACTATCATTCAAAATGTACCTAAGTATATTATTCAATTTATGAAACATGTAATTATGACTTATAACAATGAACTTTAGAATTTCTTATTTATTTAATGCATATTGTATGAGATGAACGGAGATTAAGGAGAAAAGTTTTTGTTATACCTATACAAATGCATTATTGAAAAAAAAAAACGTGAAAAGAAAGTCGCTAAGTTAAAACCAATAAATAGATAAAAAAAAATCGAAAGAATGTGCTCTCCCTCTAAACACCAAAAAGGCGGTATCTTTTGACAACAAAATATATTTTTAATACCTACCTACATGTCTAATTCGCTTATTTGGCAAAAAAATCAATGAAGTTCATTATATTAAATGAACCTTCACCGTTCAAACAAAACGTTCTTAATTATATATATTCCTCCGTTTTTATACTAGTTTAATTTAACTCTTCGGAGATGAAACAAAATAAACAATAAATTTGAACATAAATATTATGAAACCTAGGAATTAATGCTTAAAAACATAAAAATTGTACACTTTTCAAAAAATCAATCGAAGTAATTAAAAAAAATAATGTAGCTATTAAGTAGGTAACTTGTTAACAATAAATTTATAATGTATATAATATTAATAATTCAAAATTATTTATAGATCTAATGAGTAGTTTTAGATTCTGAACATAGCTATAAAAGTATTGATTTTACGATGTGTTTATTATCTGTCTAACGTAAGCCTTAGGCCTCAGTTGCTCCAAAAATGCTTCAACAAACAACTTTGAAGGTGGTTTCAGGTAGAATATTGTACTTATAATGCGTTAAAAGTATAAATTTAAAATTCTTCATACAAAACAAAAAAAAAATAATAATTCTTAAAAGCGTATTACAAGGTCCTTTCATAAAATGGTCTTACAGAACAAAATTCTATAAATACCAAAATTTTATTTTATAGTCAGCATTTTCTTTTGTAGTCATCTGAAGTTTTAATTTTGAAGAAATTAGATATTAATTTATTAAAATAAATGATAAAATATCCTAAGAAAAAGAGACTGATCTATTCTCTTTGCTCAGATTCTGTTTTTGTAAGCAAATAATTTATCATTGAATTTAAATTTAACATATTATTCATTATAGCGAACTACTTTTGGGCGTTAGGTAGGTAGGTATGTACTCAAAATCCATTGCATATCAGAGCGAATTTTTCCGGTATTGTTTATGTATTTTTCAGAGTTTTTTTTTTACAACAATTTAAACTAATCAGATTGATCAGATACAAATATATTTTTTTTTATATAATTTGAAAATGTGTTGTTTTAAATAAAATATAAATTATTAACAAGCTGTTGGAAAATGTCTAACAAATATATTTACATTATGTTATAGGTAAAATTGGGTACGTTATCAGTGGCATATCATTATTTTATAGAAATCACTCAGTGTTGTATCCAATTTTCAACACAGTATAAACACAATTTTAAACATATGACCTGAGCAGTATATACAGCATCCATATGATACGGCGATAATACGGCGAAATATTTTCAAAGATGGAAACATATTAATGAAATTATTAGTATAATAATAACGTTTGATGTTAAAAACTATAAAATATATATACTAATGAACGTTTAAAACAACTAGATACTTACCTATAATTTGATATTATAATATTCTTATGTATAATTCAATCGAATTTCTGATTATTTTTATATGATGAAGATATCTTACCATATTTATTTCTTTTATATTATTCTAATTTATTTCACTAATTTTATTATTTATTATTTATGTATTTTTTAGTTAGTCTAAATAAAAAAAAAAATTACAATTAATTGTTATTATTTAGTTATCAAAGATACATGTATATTAATCTAATAGAATATATATATAAACAGGTAGGAAGCAGACAAAAGAGTAATATTTTGGGTATTCTTGTATGCACGATCACAAACATGGTAAGACAACCTTGTAAGTCGTAGCCCGCAGGTATTTTTATGGTTAAGCCCGTAGCTGTAGGTATTTAGCTCATTGATTATATCTCATGTGAATTATAATTTTAGTCATGCAATTTCATGCTAATTACGTGCTAATTATTGGTCAAATTATGAATAACTTAATTTTTCATTTGAGCCGAGATCAGCTGGAGAAAAGCTGCGTCCGCGCTGGAGAAAAGCTGCGTCAGTTCTGCCCATTGAGTTTTTAGTTTTGCGGGGAAATAAATATCATGCAAATTCTAATTTAGGTCTCACACATTTATGCTAATGAAGTGCTAAATATTTGTGCAAAAAAATTTAATTTTTAGAGTGGGCCAAGGTAGTGCTACGTACGTGCCAAATAACAATATACTACTTAGTACTTAGTAATGATTTCGTTTCAAGTAAAAATGTAAGCAAACAAATTATGAATCACCATTCATCAGTATTGAAGTACCTAGGTATCGTATAATTTTATCTTAATTTGATAACTAGATACGCAATTAAAAAACAATACGACAGTTTGACAATGTTTAATAATTATAATGTATATAATTAATGCAAGCTGCAATTTTACATATTATCACTCTTTTCCATTATTTACGATACTTTGTACAGTATGTATACACTTTAAACCATAAATTTGATGATTCAAGTCTCGAAAATAAAAATATGTTTCTTTAAAATAAATTCTGCCGCCATTTCCTGAGTCAAATTAAAGCTTTACTGATTCAATGTTATCTTGCTCCAATCCACCAGAGTGCACTAGACACTTCATAGAGCTTGAGGGGTGAGAGTGCTTTTGTCAAATCCTTTACACGTGCTCAACTACCGATAGTAGTATTCGGCATTGGTCCCAACACAGTGGTTTGACAGTGCGTTCGATTGCTATGAAGTTTATAACATGGTTACCTCCGTTTTTCTTTCCATGTGAGTATATTTGATTCTAAATAAAATTGCTTAGTTTGAAATTTGTTTTTAAAATTGTTGTATATTAAAATGATAGATATAAATGTTAATCATTCCCAAAAATTCATCGAATGAAATTGTAATTGTTAAATTATTTAATATGGTATTTAAATACATTTGTCTAACTTCATTAATTCTTGTTCTATTCTCAAGTGAATTTTCGATTCAAGTTTATTAGTTATATAATCTATTTAAAATATAAAATACTAGATGATAAATCGTTTTTTAATTGTGTATGCACAATAAAGACATTTTGTTGGAAAATGTATTTGAAACAAAAAACAAAAAATTGTTCATTATTAAATACAAAATGAAAAATAAAATTGTACAAAAAAGTGGTGGTAACTAACATCAAAAAAGTACAGAAATATACTGTATTGCTATATACAATTGTAATTGATAATATGCAGATAAATTATTTATATTCTGCAGTAATAGGTATAAATTTAACACCTACTATTAAAAATTATTTTATATATAGAATTTACAAACTAGAAACTGATATATTGTGTATACCTACGTAGAAATTAAAACTAATCTATTAGTTAGTTTAAAATTTATATTTCATAAAAAACAAAAGTAACAAACTGATTAAAATTAAAAATACAAAGTATTGGCACAATATTAATTAAAACACAAAATATAATTTATAAAATGTGAAATATAAATTTCAATTAAATATTTTTAAAATGCATACTTATTTTGAACAAACCCGGATTATATAATGAATATAAGATGTTTCTTATATGTTTGGTCAATCTATAATACATTTAATAAACATTATAATTTAAACTTGTGGATTTTAAATTACATTCAGTTTTGAGTAATTCATGATGATCTTTAGATTTAATTTACAAAAATAAATTCAAAATACTTGATTCCACTATTTTTTAAATGATTGATTTGGTTCAATCATAAATAAATAAATCTAGTTCGCAGATAAGTATAAATAACACATCATAAGAAGTATGGCGAATAAATTATTATTCAAAAAGCAAATAATCACTCAAAATATCATTCTCTCATTTCTTTATCTCAATATGAATACAAGTTGATTGTGTGACTAATGAACCAGTCGTCAAGCCCTTTATTACGATTTACAAAAAGCACACAAAAACAAAAATAATAATACATAGTAAGTATCATATATTAACATATTTGAATAAGCAATGATACTATAAAGTATTAAACTATAGTTATTATGACGAGTATTTTAGAAAGATTCGTTGAAAAGATGTTTTTTATTATAGAATAATTTTAATTACAAAATATTTTCGAAAAAAGGAGTAATGGTAGGTACCACGCAATTGTAAGACAGTAATAAATATTTCTTAATAATCTGCTTTACATATTTCAGTAATTTACATTGCATGATATATTTATTGATTTTTATAAATCGGCTTAAACTCTAAATATTTTAATCTTAATTATTATATTATCGAATTATTTATTCAGTCTTATAAAACGAACCAATTTAATTGGAACAAAATATAATAGGTGCATACAACTTTTAATTAAACGTATAATGCAATTATTTTTTTATTTAAATACTCAGCATTCAAACGGATTGGTATATTACCTATGTATTTATACATTTTAAATAATTTAAAACACTAACTTTAAGTCCTTAATTAATAGGTATTTAAATATCAAATAATTTGCTCTGATATAATTATTGTGCTTTTAAAATAATATTTCGCTTATTTAATATAATAATAATATAATATAATTACAGCGGTTTTTTATTTTTTTATTAGTAAAAGTCTTTAATTTATTTACAACACAAACGCCAACGTTTGCAAAATTTTTTTCTTTTAATTTCATAAATGTACCCAAATTGCCTATTCATCTCGCCGTGTTAGGATTTTATTAAAATAATAAAGGGTATATTATTATCTAGATTCTAGAAGGTAAGTCTTTTAAAAAAAAGGTGGTAATTAAAACGGTCAACTTCAACGGGAATGGTGTGATTATTTGCGGGTGTTTGAAACTTGAAACGTAGAGAATTTTAGTATTAAACCATAGTAAAATATTGATTTTCAATTTAAAAAACATTTAGATCGATAATAGTAATAAATCCTCTCGATAAAATTAATAAACCAAAAACAAAACCTGTATAAACCTGGGTGAGAAATATAAATAGTAATACTGGAAAAATTGATTAATAATAAGATAGTTTGGTTAAACATTTAAAATTGATTGTAAAAACACATTATATGAGTATTGTAAGAAATCTAGAATGATTATTATAATAAATAGTTTAAAAGCACAATTGATATAATAGTTTTACAAAATAAAAATAAAAATTTTCTTTTCTTATTAATATCATATACCTAATACCTATGGCTTAATTTTTTATTCAAAAATCGATACGCTTAAATTTATGTATCTAATTATCTGATCCCTTGCACTTCGTTGTCCGGTATAAATGCCAATTCTACATGAGACTTGCTTATGATAATGAGTTAAACCTAACCAGCAGTAGATTGCGTACCTCACTAGGTACATACCTGAATAGTAAGTTTTATTTTTTTAATTTTTAATTTTATTTTGATTGTGGGCTTAGTCACTTCGGTAGGCAATGTGTGAACATATGATTGGTGCATGCTTATACCTGAACAACAAACAAAAAAAATACTAATTAGTTTCTACAAAATATATTTGTTATTTCTCCTATAAGCAATAGCAACCATTTATAAACAACAATTCCCTTCGTAAATCTCAAAATCCCTGTTTAAGCAACTGCCAGGGCTGGACTTTTCCCTTTTTAAATTAGCCTATCTTTTTTTCCAGAGGTTTAATCTATCTCGGCACTAAATTTAATCACAATCGGTTGAACGGTTTAGGAATGAATAAAGGATAGACAGACAGACATTCATTTAGACGTAGATTTAGGAGATTTTTGAATATTATATTACAATATATGAAGTGGATTATTAATAAGCCACAAGTTATTTAACTTTTTTTGTAAATTATGTACCTACTTTAAATTCTCATCTTATTTATTAAATTAAATTTTATATTTTGAACTAGTTACCATTTCAAACATTAACTCTATGAAAAACGACATACTATTTATTCACAAAAATAAAAATAATATTTTTCAAAGGAAGACATATTTACTAAAAGTGAAATTTCACCAAATAATATTTAATAAATGTTTTTTTTTTAAATCCACAGCAAATTATTTCATATTATTTGTTATTATTATATTACATATACTATTTTTACAATAAATATGTGCGTTTTCAGAAATGTAAACAAATTCAATTTATCATTATTTTTAAATTACATTGAAAGTTCAACTCTAATAGACATTCATAAACTGGAGTAAATGTAACAAGATTAGTATACCTGTAGTATCCAATCTTTTTATGTTTAACTAAAATAAATCTATAGACTCGATATTAAACAGCGTTAATATGAATTACCTTTGAAGTATTGAACTAATAAAAAAACGTACATTCAAATTGAATTTTATGAAGTTTTTGATATTGATAATTCCAGTATACGTTAAACAGTTTCCTAAGATTTAAAAA